TCTACAGGGGGTTACAAATTCGGGGTACAAGCATTGGTATCTCGGTAACCGTAATAAATACGTTCATGGTTAAATTGGGTCAGAGTTGCGTTTTAGGATGTTCACCAAGATTCCATCAAAAAAGTTTTAAAAATTTCACGGATTGATGAGTTTTTTTGGGAAAAAACGGATTTTTTTGAAAATCAATTTTATTTTTTTCCTGTCGTTACTTTTTGGAAAATCAAAAAACTAATTGCACATTCTCATAGCCACTTTATTTGGGCTATATGATAGTATTTTTATATTTTCAAATTAGCTGATAATTTGTGAGATACATAGGCCAACTTAATTTTTTTAAATACGGACCTGCATTTTTTGTTTCAGATTTTGAAAGAACTCGGTCTCCTGAGTACAATGATATGCCACACTTAATGTTTTTTTTTGTTTCGGATATTTAAACACAATTTATTTAAACTAATTTCAAGTCCGGCTCTGTTTTTTTTTAAATATTTAGGTAATCCGGGGGGTAATCTATTCATCGTTACATTATTTATTGATAAGCTTTCAAACTTAACAAAGAGGTGAGGGTAAAACGTTGAATACGGAAAATCAAATGCAATCAAATAATAAAAAATAATATAAAATAAATAATATATTAACAATCAAAAAATTTTCGGATTTTTCGGAAGATAGATTGGAAATGGTAGAGCAGTATAATGTCCAGCGAGGTTCCTGGACCTGTCGCCAAAGGGGGGGGGGTGGAGGCATTACTTGACGTCATTTGTAAAAGTGATCAAGTTGAAATCAATACATTTCAACATTTACAATAAAGAGTACAAAATGCATTCGGAAGTATAAGGAGATATGTTCAAAGAGCAAAAAATTATGAAAAATACATTTGGACATTAGGGAAGATGGTAACCCTTTCGAATATGTAGAGCATTAGAAACTAGAAACTAGTATTTAGAAGTTAATTTGTTTATACTAACTACGATTAAGATTATGCATATTATTAGATCGTACACCAGGGGTGGATGGGCCATATGGGAAAACGGGAAAATTCCCGGTGGGCCGGTGGAAAGATGGGCCGGTGGGCCGGTCCCGATCAGAGCTCAAAAAAAGATTGGATTAGCAAAAATTAAATGGTTAATCTTCTAACTAAAGTGACGTAAGATTCTTAGTGACTCTATAACTAACTAATCAATTTGCATCAGTATGATCGTCAGTTGCTTTTAAACATAAACACCAATTTGTAAAATAACTATTGTAAGATGTCTTTCTCTGGGACACTTATAATTTTAATAAACATCTGTTGTTTATTCGGTTTAAAAAATTTGATTATACAAGGTGAGTCTATAAGTGCAAATATTTTCAGGGCTGGTAGATCTCAATAAAAGAAACATAATATATTCTCTTTACCGAGTTTCAAATAAGTCCAATCGAGTTATTAAAGTTTGGAAATTAAAAAAAAATTGATTTATTTTTAAATAAATTTGAGCCACCTCAATTTTTCGGTATTTGCATCTCTTTTAGTGCCGTAATATCGGAAATATCGGAAAATTTGCTGTGAATAGGAATTTCTAAGAAGTTTAAGAAAATTTAAAAGAAAATGCACTATTTTAAACATCTTTTTTTGCAAAAAAACCTCATAGACGTGTTTCTGGGGTCGAAATATATCCCTCTGAAAATATTTGCACTAATTTAAGACTCACCCTGTATAGTTTTACTACGTCCAAATTCTTTTATTAATAACTAATAAATATGACTGACTGGCAACAGAAAAAAAACTGAATAGCATTAGGTAAATTTAAATAGTCTCGATCTAAGTGTATACTAAGAATAGGGTAGCGTAGATTGACAACTGGGGACCTCGGTGCAATATTTTTCGAGCTGCCTTTTGTAAAAAGGTAGACGAATTTGACGCGACGCGAACTCTGCGGTTGACAGAGAAAACATAAAGATGACTATCTCTATGCTTGGTTTGAATTGGGGACAGACTAAAAGTCAAGCCTGAGAACTAAAAGCCAAGTCTAAATTGTTGTTTAAAATGTTGCTAAAATGAATTCAGTAAAAATTACTGAGACAGCAGAGAAGAGCTAAATAAGGTTTAAACTAGATTAGATAATAAAATATTAATATGTCTCGAAAATCCAAATATTCTTATTATTGACTGTAACATAGAATTACATCAGAACACATTTATATGCTGCTATATACTGCTACTATAGGTATTGCCTACGTTTTTTTCGTTTGAGTCATGGTATTATCATACAAGATGCCAAATGTAGAAAAGTAAGAGGAAAAGTTTTGTGATAAGAACTATATAATAACCTAAAAAATGCAGCTGTTTTAATAGTTCATTCAGTTAAAAACACGTATACATGACGAGGCTGCTGCTGTACCAGAAAAGAGGGAATTTCTTTCTACAATTTGTAAGAAAGTATATACCTGAAAAGCTAAAAATAAGTTTCTCAAAATGGTGACTCAAAATCGTAGCCTATTCTAGATCAAATTACCGTTATCGATAACGAAAACGAAGCAGTAGAACCCTTTAAAACTGAGCCATTTTGTAGTAAAAATTTAGTTGTCCGACCCAATATTGATCTTTATGAAAATTTTGATCAAGACAATTTAATTTTTTTTTTTAAAAATCAGAAACAAAAAGACTTTTTCGCACGAGCGAAAAATACCCCTACATATACAGGGTGTTTCAAAACAAATGCGAAAAACTTGAGGGGGTGATTCCTTGTTCAAAATAAAGGGTAGTTTGCTTTATAAACGTTGGGTCAAAAGTCAACCATTAGGGAGATATCGCGGTACAAAGATGGCGGAAAAATAATGTTTTTATTTTTTATCTTGAAAACGAAAAGAGATAGACTAATGAAATTTTACAGAAGCATTACTGTTATGAAAACACACTTTCTGGTAATTTTTTCACTTTTTTAAAATGAGTGGAAGGGGTTGAAATAAACTACCCCTATCATTCTTGTTAATGAAATTTAAAGAAAAATCTTATCAAACACATGCAAAAAAAATAATTTTGATAGTTTAGTTTATTTAGAAACTTTTTTATCTCTTGTGTTTTCATATTGTAGTAAACAATGAGATATGTTATTAAATAATAATAAGAAGAAAGTAAATAAATATTGATCAATTATTAAAGACGCCTAAAACTATTAATCAATAAAACTAGTACTGTATTTTTATTTTTCTACTTGCTGTATTAAAATTCCTTAGTATTTTTAGTTGATCCCTCGTATACGGCCAGCGTTCTGACTGATAAAATAGCACTCGCGCTGCACCCCGTAAACGTACAAATTTTTTGTCACCTCGAAGGGTCACGGGCCGCCTTTGAAGTCAAAATAACAATAGAATTCCTTAGAGTGAGTCAACTGATATATTTTATATTCTTTAAACTGTGGTATTATCTAATGTCAAAGTGTAAAGTACTTACTGCGGATCAAAATGTCGGTAGGAATTTGGAAACATACAACCGTTATAAAACTATATAATTTTTATATAGTTTTATAACATTTACAATTATTTTTCGATTTATTATCTGTTATATCTGTTATAGAAATATTTTTTCAAGTTTTCTAGGACACGTTTTTTTTAGAAATACACATATTTTAGAAAGTTGGCATAGAATTTTGAACATCCTGTATGACTTACGATTACTATATTTATAGCAAAGTAAGTACAGACCAACTAAAGCAAATAGCTAATATAGTTTTGATTTCAGGACAGTTCTTGTATTTTTAATATATTTTTTTAAAAGGTTGAATAATATAGTATATTTTTTATTTATTTATTAATACCTATCTGTGAAATTCTTGAAACATATTTATTCATATCTTAGGATTATGTATAGTGATCTGAAAGGAAGCCAGAAATGCAATAATATACAGGATGTTCCATTTAAAAAAATAATCTCGATTCACTCCCACTTTTTTGAGCCACTCTATAGAATATAAGATATTTTCCTGAAATACATCCTAGTACATACTTCAGGCAAAGCTTTAGATTTTTGAACGAATTTCCCAAGTTTTTTATTCTAGGAGCTACAGATGCCCGACGCACTATTGCCGGATCCTGTAGATTTATAATAATCTCTAATAATCCAACTTTTTCCATTTTTCATTTAAATATTACTTTTGTTGAATTGACTTTTAACTTTTTTATAGTAAAAAATATACCGTATTTTTATAATTAAAATTTATTTAAAAATAGGATTGATGATAAAATATAAAACCAATTTTAATATAATTGGTATGCAATATTACACAAAAACCCTAAATATTTATATAAAAATAAACAGCGATGTTAGGTACTTACTCTTGTGTGAGATTCTGCTACAGCCCTTAAACCATTAACCCATTCTTGCCTTGCTTTGGCATCCACTGCCCTCAATTTCAACATATCACCTGAAGCACAACTCACAGTAAACGTCCTCGAGTCTTCCTATCACTAAAAATATATATCAGAAATCAGAAAATAAAAATGTGTTCTTATTTTATTTCTTATTAGAAGTTATAGGTACCTTTTAAATTTCTAAAACGACACTATATAGATGACACACATACAGAATATTCTGTAAACTTTGCTTCTATACCCTGTACCGTGAAAACGAAGCATTTTAACACATGGAATTTATAACTTTTTTACTTATATTTATCTGCAGAATATGTTGTCAGAATTTCCCGATTACAGTTCTTGTATAATACCGTACGATAAAAAAAAACGGCGTCCGGTTGGCCTGGAAATGACGATCGATGACATTCCCCACATAATTTTTACATAATTTTTACATAATTTTTACCATTTTTGCATATAAAATATGACAGCGATCCTCATTTCATAGCCATCGCTGACGCAGTTTTTTTCGATCATATTGTAGAAACTATCGCCATCTATCTGTGCATAACTAAAACCACTATTATACGTATTAAAGGCAACTACTACACGAAATTAGTTGCAAAGTACACCGACAGATGCCAGACCTATCGAATCTCTTTAAAGATTAAAATATTTTTTTTATCCTATCAATTCCAAAAATTTGTTTATTTTTCTGGAAAGACAAGTCATTTTGTGATAAAATTATAATCTCAGTTAACTTTCACATTCCTAGCTAATTATTTTGCACTTAAAAATACAAAGTCCTTGCTAGTTCATTCATCTTCAGTTATTTGAAGATTTTGAAGGCGTTCATTCAATTTTACAGCTGGACAAAAAGTGACATTTGATGATTCACAACAAGAATATTGAGGTTAGAAAGTTTAATTTTTTTGTTTTTTTTTGTTAAAATAAGTTTTAAAGAAAACACCAAATCACTTAATATTGTACAGTTATAAAGCATTCTCTCAATGAATTAGAAATACTCTATCAAACTAGCTAGAATTCTAGGAATTTAGTCTGTTTTTTGTCAGTGTACAAAGGTCTAATTCTATTAATTAATATTACAGTCCGCAATGGAATTGCACACAAAACAAAGGCAGTTTTCTGGTCAGCTATACAAATATACAAATGTAGTCAAGGGTTGGCAGTACAGATACTTTTTGGTAGATGCAAATGCAGGGTTATTGCACTATTATTTGTGCGAAGGAGAGAGACCCGAAGGGACAGTTCCAAGAGGATCTGTACATTTAGCAGGAGCTGTGATATGTCCAAGGTAAGTACTTGTGCTATATTTATTATTACAGATGCTTCATAGCATATAAAACAGACTAAAGCAAAATATGCTGATGGTTTATGTATAACAGCAACAGCATTTTGCTATGAACTTTTATTCAATTTTTTTATAGTAATTAGTGGTTTTAATTACATTTGATTTACTCACGTGGTGCTAAAAACGCTTACAGGAAAAATAATATAAAAAAATATTAATAACTTAGAAAGTTGACTTTGAAATTTAAGTTAAAATTACCAAAAAAAGGATTTAAAATAAATAGTAATGTATGTATATCACAGCGTACTGGACTTTAATAACAGAATTTAAATATGCCAAATATAAGGAATAGAGGAAGAAAATAATTACAGGTATTTTGTTACATTTCATATCTAACAATATGATTAAAAAAAACAGGGTCAGCAATGGCTATGAAATGAAGATCGCTGTCATTTTATATGTAAAATTAAATGGGGAATGTCATCGATCGTCGTTTCCAAGCCAACTGGACGCCGTTTTTTTTTTATCATACTGTATTATACAAGGTGATCTGAACTGTAATTGGGAAACTTTGACAATATATTCTGCAGATAAATTTATAAATAAAAAAGTTTGTGTAAATTCCATGTCCTAAAATGCTTCCGAGGTACAAGGTCTAGAAGCAAAATTTACAGAATATTCTGTATGTGTATCATCTAGTGTCGTTTTAGAAATTTAAGGTATAACTTCTCATAAGAAATAAAATAAGAACACATTTTCATTTTCTGATCTATATTTTTAGTGAGGAAGACTCGAGGACGTTTACTGTGAGTTGTGCTTCAGGTGATATGTTGAAATTGAGGGCAGTGGATGCCAAAGCAAGACAAGAATGGGTTAATGGTTTAAGGGCTGTAGCAGAATCTCACACAAGAGTAAGTACCTAACGAATCCCTGTTTATTTTTATATATTTATCTGTTTTTGCGTAATATCGCAGACCAATTTTATTAAATAATCCTAGACACGAATCCTAAATATCATGTTAAAAATATACAGTGTGTTGGATCGCCGATCTGGACATAGGAAATCCCATGTAAATCTTAAAAACGATGAATAAGTTTTACGTATTTTATTTTACAGAAAAATTTATTTGAAACTTTTTAAAGACCTCCTTAAAATGAAGCAAATTGTTTATTTTGAATGGTTTATACGAATTCGTTCTTGAGTTATGAGAGATTTTTTTTAGAATTTAGAATGAGTGGGAGGGGGGTTAAAAATTTATTCAGCTTCTCTATGCATTCTTTGACCAATTTCGAATTGATTGATACTGAGTTGATCGCCTTTAACGCTGCTTGACTATCAGATAAGATGGCTATTTCTTGTTTCCGATAGTTCCTATCTAAGATAAGTTGTACGCATCTCTCGATAGCGTAGATTTCTGCTTGTAGGATACTAGGGTAAGTGCCCATTAGGTGTACTGGTGTTTCCCCATCTTCCCCACAGAATCTGCATTCGCCGTTTCTTCTTAGTTTCAATCTACTGATGTGTTCATTGAGGAGACAGTGTCCTGTTAAAAACCCCTTGACAATCCGAAGATTGTTCTTACTCAGACCCAGGAAGATCTGTGATTTTTTCTTGATCATAAGCCCTCAGAAACTTCTTGAGTGTCTTAGACCATTGCAAGATTTCCATTCCAGGTTGCGGATGGAATCTTCCAAGTTCTTGAGTTCCGCCTTGAGTTGTAACCACTTGGAAAGCAGAACGGTTCTGGTCCAGTTATTGGAGTGTTCGCTCCTTTCCTAGCTAGATTATTTTGCTTTTTTCATTGCCTTCTATCCCTTGGTGAGCAGGCACCCAGTGTAGGAGGACTTTGTTTTCTTTGCCTAATTTATTCAGCTTCTCTAAGCATTCTTTGACCAATTTCGAATCGATTGATACTGAGTTGATCGCCTTTAACGCTGCTTGACTATCAGATAAGATGGCTATTTCTTGTGTCCGATAGTTCCTATCTAAGATAAGTTGTACGCATCTCTCGATAGCGTAGATTTCTGCCTGTAGGATACTAGGGCCCATTGGTTCGGAGTAATTAGCTCTCGGCCCAAACACTCCGATCCCTGTTCCCGTATTGGATTTGGAAGCATCAGTATACCAAGTTATGGTATGGTCTTTTAACTGATGGGCAAGCGTTTCGCTCTTCCAATCCTTCTTATTGCTCAATACTACATTGACATGTTTGTCAAAGTTGTACGTTCTTGGCATATCGTCCACTGGGAGTTGCAGGAGTGGTACTTCCTTTTTGAGGGTGTTCCAAGCCCCTGATCTGACAATTCTCCCAGTACTAATTCCGTTAGTGACCATTCTAATCATTTCGCATTGGCAATCTACCAATGACAATGTGCAGTGGTGTTAGATCTAGAATAACCTCCATTGCTGCTGTTGGACAGGTTCTCATGGCTCCTGTGATGCAAACACAGAGTCTCTGGAGTCTGAGTCTCTGGACTTTGCATAGGTTTAGCCTTGCCGTCCGTTGCTCTAGTTTTGTGTACCAGGCAACTGCTCCATAAGTAATCATGGGTCTTACTATCATGGTATACATCCAGCGCAAAATGTTAGGGGAGCAGCCCCATCTATTTCCCGCCAGTCTTCTGCATATCATGAGAGCCTTTATGGCTTTGCTGGTAGTGTTCTTAATATGCCTGTTCCACAGGAGTTTACTGTCCAGGGTTATTCCCAGGTATTTAACTTCCTGTGTTGGCAGTATTTCCTTTCCATCTAGTTGGATTCTTTTCAAGGTTTTCAGACTTCGCCTTCTGGTGAATGGCACTATCGCGGTTTTTTCTGAGTTGATACTCAGCCCGACAGTCCTACACCATCTCTCAGTGATACGGAGTCCTCTTTGGATAATATCACACAAGGTGCCTTCATGTTTCCCCCGAGCGATCATGACTATGTCATCTGCATACCCAATGCAGTGTATTCCCGCTAGAGTTAATTCATCTAGTAGTTCATCCACCACCAAGCTCCACAGCTGTTATGAGAGATACAAAAATACTAAATTAGGTGAAAATTTAAAATAATGTTTCCCGATCAAACAAACATAACAATCAAGTTATGTCACAATATGACAAATCTGTCATGATTTTCTTCTACAGGGATCTGTCAAAAATATTCTCAGTTATATTCTCTAAGAAAAGTTACAAAAAATACACTGTAAACATATACAAGAATCTTAAAAAAATGAAATATGTTTCGTAGATAAGTAAAAACACTGCTTCAAAAAAATTATTTATTAAACACTGAAGAGTTCACAAAATTAACTACTTGTTGATAATTAAAAAATGTTAGTTTGTTTAGGTTTTAGTTTTAGTATTATTCATATTTACAAATTATATGCTCGGATGCAAAAAAACACAACAGAAGAATTTTTTCGTCAAGTTTAAAGTGTTATATTTTTTACTTTTAGCCCTATTTTCATGAATTTTTTAGCAAACTGTATATAACTCTATCAACTTTAATTCATAAATTCAGTTTTTTTATAAACTTTAGTAATTGGCTTATTATACAGGGTTAATTGAAGGGTTGTTTTTTACCCTAACTTTAAAACACCCTGTGAAATAGTTTCGTGAGGTACTTTTTCTAAAACTTTATTTTTCTGTCAAAACCATGTCTCTTGAGTATTTTCGTTTTTGATTCATGTCAACACATGCCTGGGTTAATTTTTAAGAGCGAAATGAACTTGCCACCAACAATTTGCAATTTTTTCAAATATCATTACTTTATATCACGAGGTGGCTTTGGTGACTATTGTCGTAATGTCATATCGACATTGATTAGAACTCAGATATATTAAAATCATAGATAAATGAAACAAGTTTAGATTGGAAAGTGCCCATAAGGACAATGTAAACACTATTTGGCGCTATTCTTGCAACGGTCGCGACCCAAAACTTTTGAAAATTTCGGAGCGGTTCGGCTTTTTCCGGAATTATATCGCCAAATATTGTTTATTCAATTTTATTATTATTTTCATTTAATTTTATAAATAAAAGACAGTGTGTTGCATACAAGAAACTTTATTTTATATAAGGACGCATGTACGAAATACCTATGAAACATTGGAAACCGACGTTATGCCACGATCCACGATGGTTTTGCAGTTCACAGTTCACAGCACAGCTTTTAAGTTTTAATGCCACTTTTTCACAATTATCACCGGTTGGAGTAAATAAAACTTGAATTAAACTCACAAGATAGCAATTATTACTTTGAAAATGGACGCTATAAACACTTTCCGGAATTTCTTTAATGAGAGCGGTGTAGATTTTGAAAGATTATTATGATTTTTGAAGATTCTGACTTTGACAAGAGAAAATTATTTCTGTTTTTGTTTGCCGTTGTTCTTAGCGACCGCTATAGCAGCGCCAGATAGCGTATAACGGTCGCGACCCAAAATAATTTCGCGACCTAAAATTTTTACAGGCTTTCCAATCTAAACTTGTTGCATTTATCTATGATTAAAATTCAGAGATATTAAAATTTAAAAAACGTTGAAAAGTAGCGATGGTTTGGTTTTAATAAACATTAGTAACATTAACAGAACTAAGGATATTAAAAAAAATAACTGTAAAAACAAAGTAAAATTAACAAAAAATTTACGAAATAATATACATGTACTGATTTCTTTCGAAAATCGACAACTATGAAACTATGATCCCTTCCCCGACACAAACGGTACATTGTGAGACAGGAAATTGTAGAGAAAAACAAGCCCTATAACATAGGATACAATATTTTAATTAACAGTGCTGTCCATAAGATCATTAAAATGAAAAATATACGAAATAATATACATGTACTGATTTCTTTCGAAAATCGATAATTATGAAACTATGAACCCTTCCCGGACACAAACGGTACATTGTGAAACAGGAAATTGTAGAGAGAAACAAGCCCTATAACATAGGATACAACATTTTAATGAACAGTGCTTTCCATAAAATCAATAAAATGAAAAATATACGAAATAATATACATGTACTGAATTCTTTCGAAAATCGACAACTATGAAACTATGATCTCTTCCCCGACACAAACGGTACATTGTGAGACAGGAAATTGTAGAGAGAAACAAGCCCTATAACATAGGATACAACATTTTAATGAACAGTGCTTTCCATAAAATCAATAAAATGAAAAATATACGAAATAATATACATGTACTGATTTCTTTCGAAAATCGACAACTATAAAACTATGAACCCTTCCCGGACACAAACGGTACATTGTGAGACAGAAAATTGTAGAGAGAAACAAACCCTATAACATAGGATACAACATTTTAATGAACAGTGCTTTCAGTGCGTAAAAAAATATAAAAAATGTATACATACTGTGTTACTTTTATAGGACAGGTAAAAAGCCTTGTAGTGCCTGTATCGCATATAGCCATTGGTATATCAACTAATGAAAATGCATTATCTTGTTAATTAAAGTTTTAATAGGGTAGATTAGGCCTACAAATTAACTAGAAGATAATCAAACAAATTTATTAAAGCTGTCACACTTAACAGACTGTTTGTGTTTAAAAATAATCTTGCTTGTCATTCGCAACGCTTATGTTTAATCGCAGCCAATCAAAAATAGAACTTTGCTGGTGTTTTAGATAAGGTTTTTACAAGGATCAGTCACAAACTCATTCGTTCGAACGTCAGGTTAATTTTAATTACGAGAAATAAACAGTTTGGTAAATTTTTAAATGGCATTAATAGTTTTTAATGGCATTAAAATTATAAGGTTATTATACGGCCTACATGTTTTTTAGCTTTTACTAAATGAATAATTTGCTCTAATAACCTTGTAGGCAGAGAATAGGTACATTAAAAAAGAGCTAACTTCAGGTTAAAAAATGGAAACAGACGCCACCTGGTGTAGCCC